GTGGTGGTGGTGGTGGTGGTGGTGGTGGTGGTGGTGGTGGTGGTGGTGGTGGTGGTGGTGGTGGTGGTGGTGGTGATTATTGGACGTAAATCAACACAATTCACCACAGATTTCCATGTGTCATCCAAGGGAATAGCGCCTGTCCCCTGATCCCAGCGTCTACATATGCAGATACTTCCTCACTTCTACCAATCATCATTTTTTGTATAAGTTAAATTTCTTAATATTACACTTGACTGTTGCCTCAAATCTAAACAACGGAAAGAATTGATGAACAGGTTTGTCCTGAATCATTTTGCTCAAAATCCTTAACGAATACGGCTAAATGACAGCAACTTAACATATTTACAAAATCAGCTTAAAACAATCGTGTATCTATTGAATTTCTAGTGTTTGATGTACTAAAAGCCATACCAAGTATCGTAAGCAGTATGGTAGTGGTACTGGTGGTAGCAGTAATAGTAGTATTAGTAGTAGTAGTAGTAGCAGTAGGAGTCTTAGCAATACCAGTGGTGGTGATAGCAATAGTCGTAGTGGTAATAGTAGTAGCATTATATAACGATGTAAATTCGCGTTACTAGATATTCAGAAAATCTTAGAACATCGTGCATTTTCGTAATATTTTTTGATATTAACTGATGGCGACATATAGAAATTGTTAGAAGCACAAGTAGGTTCTAGTCGCGAAAATTTGACTTAGTCGGGAATTCCCATTTACTTATGGGCCATTGGGAATTCTGAACGCAAATATAATTGTAAGTTCACTAAAAGCTTGATTGGTCCCAAATCTTCCCTTCGATTTCGACCAATTAGAAAGTGATGATTGATGGATCCTGACAAGAGGCATTGAGTTGACACTTCTGTTCGTGTCATTGATCTACTCGAATGTCAGTGTTTCGTCCATTAGGGTCAAATTGTTAAAATCACAGTTTTAGTTGAGGAGGGAATCGCAAATGTGGAAGATATTAATCTGAAAAATGAATAAATTTTTGAAGTGTGGGATCATCTTAGATGAAAAAAAGCCTTGACTAAGACTAAGCTAATGCTTATTGCTGTTGCTGAAATCGCCTTGAGAGCATATTAGATGCCAGCTAAAAACATTAAACGCATTTAAGCACGCCATTGTTATAGTTGTGGTGGGAATCGTGTTCACTCACACCTCTTAATCCTGTTGCTCCAGCCTCCGACACAAGTTTTTTCTTTTCGTAGCATGTCCCCAGCCGCGCGGATTCTCAACTCCCCCTCCTCATCCGCACGGATATTTATCCTGGATTATCCTCACACCTAGGTCTCGATGTTAGCGCATGCATGACTCACGCATCCGAGGTATAAATACACACGCGCGAACCCCACGCACGACACAACGACATCAACGTGGTTAAGTTCGGAAGTAGACGGCTGTGCTCACGTCCTCTCCGGTCTTTTTCTTTATCGCGGGTATCAAGAAAACTTAATCGGGCCAGGGTTAATCCCGTGGCCCCGACGTGGTTCAAGACCACATGCTGGGGCCAACAACATTTGCATATGCGAACCTGTTTGCACAACTCATAGTTGAAACAGAGGAAAGTCTGCAGCTGAAACCATATGTCACACGAAACGTGAATCAAGTAAATAATAGGGTGATGCCTTCTACATATCCGAGAGACATATTATTTGGTCTGGTTCTGAAAACTTTGTTGAAAGTCGTACGTAATTAATAACCTGATACAGGGTGCATGTACTAATTTGACGACCGTTATACGAAAGATTTCGTAATCCCAATTCATTTTCAAATTTAGATTTTGAACAATTCATTTCAGCGCACAATTCACGGATACGTTACGTCACCTAATAAACCTCCTACGGGTATTTGTGCAATCTAACTAGGCTAACGTGACGCCGAGGCTTCACTACGGCTCAAGACCACATTCTGGATCAATAATCCTAATTACTTGGGTGAATGAAAATGACTCAGGTAATGTCAACATTTGTAATTTGATCAATGGTGTACTGAGAAAGGTATAACCAAAAGTAAAAGTTGTAGTGTTTGCATTACACAATGCCTCACATTAAAACCAAATTAACTTCAGCTTCTAGTAGCCTCAGTTAAATGAAGAATATAGTTAGATGACGTGGAAAATTAAACACAGAATGTAGTGCCTTAAATGGTAGAACTCGAAGTACTCAAAAAATACTTCAAAAGTTAAGTAAGGGAAAGCAAATCAGTCAAATGAAATTGTAAGACCAATATTACACACCATAGTAGCTAATGGATATGTATAAATCAGCGGTAGCGGCGTGGTTGTATCCACGGTTATTAAAATAGTGACAGTGCGGAAAAAATTATTTCTAAGTAATGCACTATTAATTTAGACGCATTTTAAATTACAAAATCTAACTCACATTAGCGTAAGGAATAAGCCTCGAGCATACAGGGAAATATTACACTGTCATTCATGAGCTGTGGTGAAATTAGCGAATTAATGAGTTCAACATTGAAGCACTGATTTTTAATGATGCCACATAACAAGACAACTTTTGTGTCTGTGTATATTAACTAAAATAGTAACGTTTCAAACCGCTTCTTTAAAACATGTTTTTATTGAGTTCGAAGCTATAAAGGAGTAAATAAGCTGCAAAATCATGATGTCTAGGAATAATATTATTTCGGCAAAATTTGAAAGCAACGTCATAACACAAATGATGGCAGATGATATCAGAACAAAAAAACTTTCACAGAAAAAATTCGGTTAATTGAGTTTAAAAGCAGTCTGGAGTGCATACGAAAAAGTCCTGCAACAGTAAGCAAACTTTTGCTAAAATATGAAACAAATAGTTATTTAGAAGAGAAAAGAATAATGTTAGATTCGGAAATGAGGTGCAATGCACTCTTCTTACAAATACGAAATGTATTTAAATCGCACAGACAATGACTGGACTAGACATTAAAAAAACCAAAAGTCATATCTGTCAATTTGCACATATTTCGTGGATGATCAGGTGCAACTTTAAAGGTTGTTTAAATTAGTTTGAGGCGCTACTAAAAAAGCGACTTTTCGAAATTTCACGATATTCCCGAAATCATGGAAATGCTTAAAGATCGCCTATACATGCCAATTTACGCTGACCAGAAAGCATCCTTTAGAAGAGTTAAGATATCAATTATTGGTTGTGGTCGCGAGGGGATGGCAATTGCATTTTGTGTCATTATTAAGGTAGATTAGTTAATTAAGATATTCTGCAGGGGTTAGCCACAGAAGTAGCACTAATTGATTTAAACGAGGAAGCTGTTGATGCTGAAGTGAGAGACTTACAAGCTGTTGCGGAGTATTACCCAAAATGTCAAATTTACGGTGGTGCCAGTAGGTCCGATTGACTAAGACACAAACAAAAATACCAGACTATAAATTAGTTTCAAATTCGACTATTATCGTAATGTGTGAGAGGATTCCACCAATGGACGACGAGAGTAAACTAGCTAACGTTCAGCGAGGTTTGGATGTTTTTAAAAGTATGTAGTGTATTTGCCTGTTACACAATTTTAGGGATCATCCCACACATCGTTGAAAGCAGCCCAGAGAGTCTAATCATGGTGGTGTCGGAACCAGGCAAGTTTTGTTAATTTTGACATGGTAGTTGATATAATGGCCTATATCGCTTGGCGGCTCAGCGGCTTTCCAAGAAATCGTGTGTTTGGAATCGGAACAATTCTTGAATCTGCTGCATTTCGAGTTTCCATAGGTCAGAAGCTCAGTATTAGCCCCCATACTATAGAAGGATGTGTACTCGGAGAGCACGGGCCTAACTCAGGTATCCGTTTCCAATAACCTCTAGCATTTCAGTTCCCATATTCAGTTCTGTTGTGTGTGGCAGTACCAGAATTAGAAAAGTGTACCCGTCATTTGGAACTGAAAAAGACAATGAGGGCTATGAAAAGATTCCCGAGAATGTGGATACAAAGTACGCACTCTAACAAACCCGACACTTCATAATACAGTATTCGATTTATTAACAAACATAAAGGCAGCTGCTCCTGGTCCCTTGGTTTGATAGTGTGCCACATTTGCGAAGTTATTCTGAACGACGGAAACATTATTCTGCCACTTTCAACCCACGCTAAGGTAAAAAGCTCAGAAAATTACTCGCGCTTTAGCACGACGGTTTGCTCAAGGTGAGTGATGCAACACAACCAGGAGTAACTCTATGATATGACAATGATAAGTTTCCAGTCCACTTCCTAAAAAATTACGGACATGTTTTAGAATGTACCAGGAATCGACAAAGACATTTTCATCAGTCTACCTTGCTTGGTAAATTCGAATGGAGTGCGAGGAGTCATGTTCCAAGACTTAGCCGATGACGAAAAGGACAAACTCTATAAATCCGCCAAGGAGATTGAAACACTCATTTTGAGCATTGACTGGTGAATAATGGCAAATAATCGGACCATGTATTTTACAAAAACAAGGATACATTAAAAATTCACAGTAAATTAGTATCCATGTTTTAGATAATCATTTGCCTTTCTTTCCAGGCCGTTGGTTCCTAAAAGTAAAATATACGAAGTTGTTCAAGGACTCAATTAGTAAATAGAAAATGTTCAATTGTCAGTTTTCACAATACACTCAATACAATAGTTTGAAACACACTGACTTCATTAATTTACTTTAGCAAAGAACAGCTGAGGAGCATATTAAATCTCTTTTTATGAATTTTGTTCGCGGACCATTTCGTTTTTGGTCCGCTGAATCGCCAGACTTCGTCAATAACTAATAGACAGCCATTATGGGTAGCAACTGTGCAAACAGCTACATGAGACGTACCTCTCAATTGCTTTCCGGCGTTCAGCCAGGGTTCGCATGTCCTTATCAGCGGTCTTGCGAGAGTGAACCATCTTCCTGTACAAATTCTTGTGGCGCTTGGGCAGCATCAATTCGCGCAGCTTGCGTTGCGCGTTCTCCTCGGCGCGTTCGGCCATCTTGACGGTCAGCTCACTCGGCGCCCGGCCCGGTGCCACCACCGCCTTCTTTCCTGCAACCAGGAAAGCATGACATGCTTAAAGAACTTGGCGGGCATCTTCTTTTTAACATCTTGATGAACGATTTACACAAAACATGGCCACTGCAGGATTTTAGCTTAATAATGTGTCGAATTGGTAGTAAAGATTCGCCAGTTGAAATGATGGAAGATCCACGATATGGATGATAGCCTTTCATGGTTTGCTTGGTTTAATCGATACATTTGCTGAATTTCAATTATGAACACCAATGACGTATTGCCTAACCTGAAACACCCAGTGGATGAACCCTGCAAAAGCCTCGCTCACACGACACATTAGCACCAAGTGACGTGACCCACCCTTCTTAAGAGCCTGAGAAACGCTCTTTCTGCGTTTCTTGTTCTTTTTGGGAGCTTCTTGCGCGTCGCCCTCATCAACCTCCGTTTTGTCCGCCTTGTCATCCTCTTGGTGACCCTCGGCCTGGGCGGCGAATCCGGCACCACGGACTTCAGCAAGGGAGACGAGGCCGGCGAGGTAGTCGGCCTCGGGAGGGCGATAGAGGGCGGAGCCGGCGCCGAAGCCCGGAGCGGGCTTCACCATCGCGGCCTGCTTGAGGGCGTCGGCGATGTCCGCGCGTGGGTCCACGACGGCCGTAGCGAACGGCGAAAGGTGGGGAGGCAACGAGGCCGAGGGCAGGTAGTCCTGGGTAGGTAGCAGGCGACCTGCGTTGAGGGAATCGAAGACCCACTGGGGCTGAACGTAGGCCCTGTTACAGACAAAATATTCGAGGTTGTTAAGGTAGACAAAAGGGGAAACGAATAAAAGCAATTTTTCTCAGAGCAATCAGGTCTGCGGTAGCCTACATTCACGTGGTCTCCGCAATATACTCGGTAGTACGCAATTGGAATGAAAACCGTGGCCATGGTGATAGTTCTTTGTGGCAAATTCTGGTCAACATCCTGACACCTGACTTGTCAAACAAAGCTGAAATGATGCAACTTACTACAAAATTAAGATTCAATGCTAAATTTGCGGTGGAATAATAAAAGATCGAAATAATGAGGCCGCAGATTATGTGCACCACTTATTCTACCGACAAAAGACGTTTTGTTCGAAGTGGCACTTCAAGAACACAGTTAAATTGAGTTTTGTTACTTGGAAAAAAGTTTAGAAGACGTGGCGCCATCATGCTGAGCCAGAATTAAAGGGATATATTAAAGCTATAATTGTAGAGAACTAAAGGACGGACAAAGCATTTTTGAGAAAGGAATGAGTCTTGAAATAGACCGCATGCCTACCGCTATTAGGTGACAACTTTTAAACAATTAGTGACAAGAGAATCGAGTTACATATCTAAATAATTTAAGACAGGTACATTGTGTCACGCATTTACACACAATACTGACGTCTGTACGACAAAGTTTTATGGATTAAACAAAATTTACAGAAAAGGCCAGATTTCCAGCCGTTATTCACAGGTAAAAACATTGACCTCTAAATTATACGTAATAAAGCAGGCTAATTAACACTTGAGGATGGTCAGCCAAACCAGTCACATAAACTTGGTAATTCTCATGAATACGGGACTAAATATCACCTCGAAAAAAGCAAAGCAAAAGCAGAGCGCCATCCAATAAGTGATCAGGTCACTTTTACGTATATAAATAAAACCACGGGAATGGTCCTTAGACAAAAAAGACATAATTCAGCTGTGAGTAACCTAACCACCTGCGACTTGTACGCTTCAATGCACCCGGCGGTGGATAGTGCAACCACAACGGCCCAATGTAGAAAATTTGTCCAGTGGTGAAATCTTAAAATCATGCATTAACGACAGTGCTTCGAAAACCCTCATAAATCAGTAGCAGTTGAGAACAAACGACGAAAAAGCGTGGAGATAACATTAAGAGAAGTTTGAGTTCCTTGTCTCGAGAGAATAACAAGCCTTCAACATAAACGAAATATTCAGTCATAAAAAGACAAGACTATCGGGGACTCACCGATTCGCACTCATTGACTTCATCGGCCGATCGACAACCTGATAGTCGATGCGCGAATCGTCTTCAGTGTAAGTAGCGCCAGGACCTGAGGAGATATCCCAACTGCAATCGCCGCCACAAGCTCGGATAATCACTGTGAGCACCTCCTTGGGGACTTCACGATTGAGGAAGAAACGTTTGCCTTCAAAAAGATTCTTTATTCGCTGCACCTGTACTTGCTTGTTCACTGCTGCAGTTACTGAGTCATCAATGGTCTAAAAATAATAAGAGAAGTCACTCAACCATGACAGCTGTTGAGTCATTTGAAGACCAAATTGTTTTTAACATCAATTTCAATTCCTACCGTTTAAACATAACCGATGCGTATTATCGTTCGAATACAGTCGAAACCTAACGGTACCTCTGGACCCTTACACCAAACATTCATTTCAAGAGTAAACATGTGGATTAGGCCAGATTTTGTTGTTTTAGTTAATGGTAGCACGAAACAGCTATTAATGTCTTGTAGAGAATGACTCACTTGTAACTCGACCAGATTATCCAACTCAGCCGGCTCTGCAATGTTTTCTTCCAATCGTTTTATTGGAAGGGAAAGTGAAGAAAGGAACTAAAATTGCTAGGAATTTGAGAAAGAAATGTACCTCGAACTGGGCACTTTCGGCAGAACAGTATGTAGACGCAGGATCATGGACGTTTTGAGAATTGAGCTTTGGTGGATACAAAAGACCTGCTTCTTTATACAGACTTTAGATGGAAAGTGAGGATAAGAAATTAGATTTACTTGACCAACAGCGACCCCACCAATGTGACATCAAACTCAACGCACGTTGCTAAAAGTCGATAATCCACATCAGATGGTGCATGTGTAGCAGCTTGGTGAGGAATAACCCAAGCAACAGGAATTTCATCGATTACTGCTTCCAAGAAAAAGCCTTTAATGCTTATAAAAGCCTATTGGGAAGTAACTATCACAAGGAACGCAAACAAACCTTTCGGATACACCGCATAGCGATAACGTAATGAAGGAACTCTACACAAAATCTCCGGCACAAGGAGATCAATGCGGGATGAAATTGTGTTAAACGCGGCAGACGCGAGAATAAGAAAACGAGGTTCAAACTATCATTAAGGTCTCGCAATGCATCACGACGGGTAGGGTATCGTTCTCTAATAAGCTGGTGTAAAGTGTATGTTGGTTTGTTCATTCTAAGACGGAATTCCTTGTCCCGATCAAGCTTTTCTCGAGCTCTCTTTAAGCGCCTCTGATGTACACGCAAAGACCGAAACGTCTGGATCAATGGCTCACGTGCAAGAAAACCAATATCCTTGGAGTGGAAGTAAATGCGCGGCTCTGTACTTCCACGGCCCGCTTTCTTTCTATTCGGCGGTTCCACTGGGTAAATTCCTTTCAGGATGCATAAGCGTCTATCCAATAAGGTTGGCACAAAATTACTCACCGAAAGTTAGATAAACCTAACTGAAGCTTTCGCATTGCCTGCTTCTGGGAAATATACGCCACCGCCGTTCCTTTTTGTTGCTAAAACCAAACTTAGAATGATAAAACAATCTTGCCTTCTTTTGGCGTCTCATTCTGACCGAAAAAGTGGAGACCTCAACCTAAAAAGTTGCACGCAAAAGAAACTTCGAACACCGCGGGTATCGAATCAACGAGTCAAACAAACTCTGCGCAATTGAACGTCCAGGATGCAAAAAACGTTCAAGAATTAACGTTAAGTAGACTAAAAGCACCACAGATTGATAAGTAAAACTATAAACACTAAACGGTAGATTAGATCATATAAGCGTTTCAAGTCGTTTTGAGGTCAAGTCCTTACAAGAACCCACGGAATGGGTCTCTACACCATTTTCCAAGCCCATAAAAGGTGCAAGAAAGTCTCTTGTCTTGGATAAACAGGAAACGACTGTGAACGTTAATAAATAAATCTTAGGCCTATTCATGTTTGGCCAACTGTTTTGGGAGGCCATATGATTTCTTGAAAATTAAATCCTGGACCCGTAAAAAAAAACTGCTGACTACGAATTTCTACGAAGCAGCATCAAAATGAGAGGGTGCTCTGGTACTCAGCGTCTGCAAAAAGTTATAAAGATAAAGAAGTTACCGTAGAACATTAGCAGGTATTTGCATTTTTTATACCAGTTGTTAAGTAAATCTTTTTTTCATTTAATGCAATAAAGGGTTCAAAACTTTTTTACGCCAAGCGTTTTTGTTTAAGTTATTTTATTTCACATTTATAGTCGTTGTGTTTAGAGCCTCACAGTGACGCTTTTAAGTTTAACACGCATACATTGTGCTTGGGCGACCATACGATGCAACGCAAGCAAAAATACACGCTTGTTTAAAGTTGCTTTGTTGTGTATGTCAAACGGTTTGGAATCCAACTAAGCAACGCTGCTTTGGAAAATCCATCTTATCTAAATTCGGCTTATTAATTTGCAGCCTTTGCTCAAAATTTTAGGGGGAAAGCGAAACTTCGATTGATCATATTTGAACTTACCTACGTCTTAAGCTATAAGTCCCAAACAGGTTACTCTTCCAGGTCAAACCCGTAACACCTGAAATGATGCTGGTAATGTCTAATTTGTGCTGTATTCTAGCAAACGTTTCAGAAAGTCATGTAGATCTGTAATGGGTATTTAGTGCAATCAAGTTTGCCGTTTGTGGTTTCTTTGCCCTGTTTAAAGTAGTGTTGCTGAATAACCACAGTAATATTCTTTGAAAACATGCAAATATTTGATCAAAACGAATTTAGCTTTTAAATATTAAACTCAAACTCATTGACCTGACTTTCTGATGATTGTGTATGGCGCAGTCCACGAATACTTACCCGTTCTACTAGATGCAAAGCTCAGTCAGGCCCTTTGAAGCATTCTTTATGTTTTCCTTAATTCTGAGCGTCTGAGAAGAATGCGTGGAAGTATGACTCGCAGAAGTGCCTAATTTAAACGAATAAAGCAGATGTACAGCATGAATTCAGTCCTCCTAAAAGGGCATCAATTGAAACACTTGCGTGTAGAAAGCATGGGAATTACAACGATGTCAGTATACGTACTGGCCTCTTTGGTTTTATGTTCTCCTGTGTCATCTACATTGCATCATCGACTTCCTAAAACATTCATTGCACACATCGTTTTGCACTACCTTGATTCAGTCTGTTCGAGTAATTCGATTGCTAATGTGATCAGGTGAACCAACTTTGATTGCACGTAACTTATAAAATATAAAAAATAAAGGTACTTGTTCAACCTTGATAAAAAAAATTAGGTAATTAAAATGTGCATTCAAAATATTTGAAAATTGTTAACTAGGCGGTGGCTAGTTTACTAGTTTAAAGGCTTTCATTTAGTTTGCGATTAAAAAAACTGGATCACTCAAACGCTAAAGCAGAAATCCAAAATAAATGTCTTGAGGAAAACAAAGATTTAAAATTCCATCGGTTTACTGTTCCGATATTTTAATCAAGGATGAAGAAGTCCGATAAATCAATTGCTGCCATAAAAGCTTTGAATAAAGTCAAAAATCACAATGCATCTAACACCTTATCAATGGTCCTGGTTTCAAAATACTCGTCACTGAAGATCAGTGGATTATCGATGTATCCCATTGTAAAGTCCATGTAAAGATCAAGAACATCAGTTGTGCCCAAATTTCTCTGGCTTTTTATCTCGCTTAATACAGCATCCTCATTCAGTTCTTCGTCACACAACGAATTGTCGTAAATTTTAATGTCTCTGGAAGGCCAATCAAAATTATGCTTAATATGGTGAATCAGCTGGCGAATAGTCGTTCCTTCGTCTAGTACCAAGTGCATATTAAGTGGATTGTACGGGATTGAACCATTCAGCGTAAACACATCCACGCCGATGAATTTAGATTTGACTATTTCATTGTCAACACCTATTGTTGCAATTTCACCTGCTTTTACGTTTTCCGCTAGAGCCATCATATTAGCAAAGGAGAATGTCAAATCTCCATAGTGTGCAACGATTTCGTACAAAACATGAAGGCTCTCATCATTCAAATGCAGACCGAAGTCTCTAAAGATGTCCATCGCACATCCATAAGTCAACTGCGTCTCCAGGTATACTAATGCACGGTAAAGCTTTTCACCATTTAGAAAGAACCAATCCTTAAATTTCTGCAAGATATTCATCACATGGTCAGAGTCCTGAAGGATTTCCTTGGCAACGGTTTTGATAATTACCAAGTCCTTTTCTTGCCTTTTGAGTATTCGATTTATGGCTACAGTGCGCATACCATCCATTGAAAACATCTTTTGACAGCCGCATAAACAGGAACATAAACTAACTGATCGATAATTTTAAATTACTGTAACATGACACCCCTTATTGCACCGATGGTCAGTATAACCTGAGCTAGTGATCCGTACTTTGCAGACCAAAAAATTAACACGAGAAAATTATATCTGTAATAAGGATAACTGAGGCCACCATGTAGTGGAATATTTGCTAATTTATGTGGATCAACTACTGTAAAATTTAAATGACATTGCTCGATAAATGGAAAGGTTTCATTAGCAATCATCACTGTGACCAAACTTTAATAATAATAATTCGTCTTTATAAAGTCAACTAAACGTACCTAGTAAGAAACATTATGCCTCATGATTTTTTATTTGGAAGTTTCCGCGTATGTTCTTTTTCAAATCAGTGTTTCGCGTTTACCACAAGTCTCGTATAGATTTTTTTTAATTTTTCGTCGTGTTGGCTACCTTCTTTAAGGTGACTCTATAATGGTTTGGAAACTTTCAAAAGCCTTGAATGGACAAAAAAAGGAATGTTGAGGAAAGATCATTATTACCATTATATATTAATAATAAAGTACTGGGGTCAGTGATAAAAAATGTATCTTTTTAGATTTTACTGCTGGAATGGTAATAGACCTAATAGAATTCGACTTGATAGAGGTTAGAATTTAATCTCAAGTATTGTAAGTAATTTATTGATCTATCGGTAAAAAATTTCCAAATTTGGAAAAAAACATTTCGCACTCTTTCCTCCATCGCACTAATCAAACTCTAGGTTATATATGCTGCACACAACAATATGAAATGTATGAATAACAAAATAAAAATGATTGATAGGCATTATCTTGACATTAACACTTATTGATTTCTTTTAAATAATTTCATTAAGTCCAGCTGCACACTTGAAGATGTCATTGGTACTTAAGCAGCTATGAGCTTCTTGAATCCATATATCGTTGATATCTTTGCGTAACATAAATCTTAATATACCGACCGAATTTATGTGGCTGTCCATAAATCCCTCAACATAATCTCGAAACTGTGAGCATGTAAAAAAATGTGGATTAGTAAGATGGCAAGTGACAAATTCGTTAATTAAATATAATGTATATGTAACACCATCAACCTGTTTCTTAAATGAATGATTTGGAATAGGCAAGTGGTTAAATTTGAAATTTACATTTCGTTGAAATTTAAAATAAGGTCTGGAAAGGTATTAGTATTTTGGAACCTCGATGAACAACAAGATATGTTGTATACTCTAGGTGAAACCGAATATCTATGGGCGTAATGTATTACGCACATGATATAATTAAATGGCAGAGAAAAATTTGCCATCATTGGAACCGTATTTATAAACGCGTCGAAATTGAAGCTTTAATATAACTTGTATTTTTTTAGCTTTTATTTAGAACTGTTTTGAAAAGAGCACAATAATTTTCAAGTTTATTAAAATTTTATAAACATTGCAAAATTATTTGACTTTTACACAAATTTGGTAAAATCGACATAGGGGAATCATTAGGTCATGGTAGGTACATAAATGTTCCGTGTGTTTTTTTTTGTTAATAATAATTTTCATTCCTAACTATTTGCTGAATTTATTCACTGAACGGTAATTTTCCGCAGATATGTGGATAAAATTTGAGTTGGTATAAAATAAAGTAACGTTTTGAGAATACCATATCTGTGAATGTTCCCAAAATGCGAGTATCTAAACCCCAGGACAAAAATTTGTGCTAAAATTTTCACTTCCAAAAAAAATTGAATGCGTAGACTTCGAATTTAGAATTAAAAGGTAATGGGATTTCATGACAGGTTATACTACGCACAATGTTCAAAAACAAGGAAAAAACCATTCTTTGAAATTTCTATAATGGACTGAGCTGAGTACATATTATTATTGTACAGTTTTCCACAGTTTATCAGGGATTCTTTTCAACCTGGAATTTCCTTAGCAGCAGATTTGTTTGTTAGGCAAGTGAAATTTGCAAAAACTCATCTTTGCTTGACGCTCTTCATGAAAAATTTTATTAGGATCAATCACACGTTAGAATTCCTAAATCTCAAGGCTTCGTCGTGGTGAATTCGATCACTGCACTTGCAGACAACAACGTGCTCGATGCAACAAAATTTGACTTGATTTGTGATGAGGGTTGTAAACAGGCCATGTCCCTGCGTTATAAAGCTAATTATGAGACGAGTTATCATGCACCAGCATATTCTGGAAAAAAGGTTTCGTTCGTAAAATAAATTGCCTACGTAAATGTTCATTTCAGACCTATCAGTGGTAAAGGTCAAGTTCTTAAGGTTTTGCGCCAATGTCAAATTCACAAGGTGGTATGTGGTAGTGTGGTGGCGCCAAGGGCATTCTGTGTAAATGGTTAGAAGAGTAGAACTTTTTCGATGTTTACAGGGAATCCTGTCATTATATAAGCCCCCGGGTTGTGATTTTGAGAAGTTTCGAGTACGCCTTGCTAAAAAAATTGCAAACGGTTTGCATACCTTTCGAACCATTACTTTAGAATTCAATAAATTACCTTGGGAATTTGAGCGGCTCCGTACAACCATTGTAAAAAATCCTGATATGCCAGTTTTGCCTTCTATATCTACTGATGTTGATATTGTAGACAGTCCCTTAGGTTTGTGTTCGTAAAAATTAATTCTTCTGGTTTTAGTCGTCGGTAGGCGTTTTGTCCACGGAGATGTCATTCTTAACTTTGTTGATCCGCTTCCTGAATTTGTTTCTGGTGTTCAGCTTGTTGGGGTTGGTGAAAGTGGCGCATACGACCTAACAGATTTCTTGCATAAACACCGATTCTCAAAATCCTATCATCTTACCGGCATGTTTGGTCAAGCCTCCCATAATGGCTTGGCCACCGGACCGACAATTTATAGAAGTCCATGGCGTAAGTGAGCATCTTCGACTGCTTCATGAAAAGTTCTTGAATACCTTTTTGGTCTAATTTACTCGATTTCCTATATTTTGCAGAATTTTAGCGAAACAGACATGATTCAGTTAAAGTTGTGCGCCGTTGTTTTATTGATGGGCGACTAGGAGATGGGGACCATTTGTAAAATGGTTTGATGTTTTCGGCACGTCCTATTGTTGTCGTTTTATGGCCAATTCATGTCATTTTTGTTGAAAGAAAGGTGATGTCACTACGTCGAGTCTAATCAAAAATGCTACACTGTGGTTTTTTTTAGAACTACTTGTATTGTCATCCAAATTTGCGAATCACTTACTTTCATATGTCATTCGGCGCATCTACCCGTTTGAATTACTGTCATTCTGTTTAAAATTGTTCATTAAATACATGGCCGTAGGTTTACCTTGAAAGTTTATACACTTATTAAGTGATAATTTTTTGCAAATATTGTGGAATGTGCAGGTCACATAACACGACCGAAATTGGATCGTGTCATCGCGTCGATTGAATTCAGAGCTAGGTCGGCTTCACTTCTCCAGGCCGGGCTTGTTCCAAATACTCAGAAGGCTTACGAAGCACTCAGCGATCCAGAGCGCAGCAGGAGTTTTTTAAAGCCAATGATCGAGCCCCTCGAATCCCTGCCCTCTGATCGCGTTACCTCGTACTGGGACACAAAGCCCGAACCCACACAGCCACGCTCTCTCCGAGCCAGACCAGACCCAAGCTCGCTGCGGCAACTCCCTCCATCCCTCCAAGCGATTCGCTGTATTGAATTTGATCCGCCTTTCTTCACAATCGGTAGGTGCAACTCATTTTGCACAATTTTCTAGCACATTCCCTCTAAGCATTCTGTTAGTATCTCTTTTTCTTCCATCTAGAAATCCAGGTTATCTACGAGACAGGTGATTTTTTAATCGATCTCATGGCAAATATTGGGGCAGCGCTACGCTCAAGTTGTCTGCTTTCGAAGGCCAGACGCATTAGACACGGCCCCTTCACTGCTGGGAGTAGTCTCTTGTTGAAGCAGTGCACTGTGCCCGCGTCCCTGTACGAGCGGTTTGCTTCGCTCCGGTCTGAACCACCACACGAAGACTTCACCGATGAGGCAGAATTCCGTCGGTATTTGCTATCTCAGCTTGTTGTGGATGATGAGATTAATCTCTTCTCCAATTTAGTGAAATGCACCTACGATGACAACTTCCAAACGTTACTTTTATCCGCGAAAGGTTGAGCTTCTTACTCTGGCCTGAAAATTTTATTTTTGTACATACAATCGAAACTACCAGCTACCTCTCCCTCCAACACTTGACTGTTCCTCTATTGGTAGGTCAAATGCGTGCCCGTGGTGTTCTTAAAGATGAACACAGCAGTTCCGCCCGATGATACTACTATCGTGTAAACAGGAACATAAATCTTTGGCTTATTTGAGAACACCAGTCTTCACAAATGCTTTCTTGATGTCAGTGAATTGTTTAGAAAACATTTTGGCAACTTTAACTATGTTTGATTGGTACAGGACTTTATTCAGGCGTTACCTGCTCGAAGGTACAAGTAAAGAGGCGTTCAGAAATGCGATTCGATGTGTGGAGGTCAATATGCAAAGATATTTTCCTAAGCGTGAGCAATCACGAAATCAATCAAATATCTTAAATACACTTAGCGTGTCTTCATTTGTCAACTGGCCACAGAAAGGTTGGAATCTTTTTAAAGACTTAATCATATCTCCTAGGAGCACAAGAATATAGCAACGAGCTCCGATTGGATTGATTTGCATCACAGGAATCGTTTCTCGTCAAGGGGGCGCCGATTCCTACCAATCAGATAGATTAAGGAATAAGAAGAGTTAAACTGCACCTGTTTTAATTAATCGAACCAGCAAAATCGAGACATTCCCCTTTCGATTGATACCTAAGGCCACGCAAAATGTAACAAAACGATGATCCGATGAAATATAATAAATGGTGCCAGTCCTCTAAGGAAGGTTCAAGCAATAAATGTGATTTCAATTATGCTTAGTACATCTGTTCCCATTACGTCATTCCGAATGAAAGAAATGCTTTTTTAGGTTTCGTCTAGTTTTCTTGTCTAAAGAGATGCATTCGGAAAGAAAACAGCAAATTGAATCGGATTTAAGAAAAACGCAGGATTGAAGAAGGAATAAATTATAGGGTAGACAAGAATGCGTGAGCGCCATTCCGAAATGAAAAAAAATGGGAAGAGATAAAATCCCAGGCAGCTGCTCACAAACGACACAGGTTTTGAGTTTGCAATGGATTAGTTGAAATCTGTTAAAGTGGTCTGGTATAAGTTTGGATTATCAAATATTTACATGCGATAAATTGAAATGATTTCCCAATGTCAACAACAAAAACTTAACCATGCGAACTACATTTAGTCAGATTTCGATCTCTCGGAATTTTCGCTTGCAACATTGCCTTCTGTCCAAACTCCTCAAATAGATTGCAACTGAGCTGGGGGTAGTGATGACATTCGAACCGTATTCGAAACACCGAAACGATTGTTTTCGAATTTCTCAACCATGACAACGTCAGTGAGGTGGGTAGGTAGCTCCCTTCATAGCCAAAAACTTATCAATAGAGGTCTACTGATTCAAGGAACGGTAAATCGATTCTACGGCATAGAAGGGGGCCAAATTTGCGTCTTGATTCAAATTGAACATTCTCGTGTGCAAATCTAGTCACACGTCAAAAGCTCAAAACGCGATCTTTTCTTAAAAAAAATTAATTTAAATCAGGAGGCAATGTTTGAGGGCGCAGACATATTGGACACTGGCCTCAGCTAATCCTGTCTCTCTGCGTTCCAATGGCATGCGAGGAAGATAAACAGCCAACCAGAGGACATGAATGAAGAGCAGTATATAATGAACGGCACGTCCAGCGTGGTGGACTCGGATGGAAGGCGCCTAACGTGTCAATTGATCAATAAAGCCTATTCTGTTGTACCAGTCTTATTCATACTTGGGCTTGGGTATTCAACACAAGTCACAAAATGCCTGAGATTGAATCCGGACTAATTTGCACATGACGCTGATTGGTTAAGCCTGCCAATCACCAATCATTTAGTCGGATTTTAATAGATTGTTCTCGCAACTAAGAGATACGCTTAATTTTGGTGTTATTAAGGAGGCTCATGTAGACACGAATGCAACTTAGCGACGCCATGTGCTCATTGCAAAACTCTACACTGTCATCGTGTGCGCCACCTTTTAGTGGTGAAATAGCCTGCCAGTTCCTCATGTAGATGTGCAGTGTTCTCACACAAAGCATTAAAACCATGTTTAATTTTCCAATGTCGCACGCAAGCCCCGTTTTTTGCCCAAATTTAATGTACGCACTTGATTACTTTAGTGAAAATAATATATAGCATTTAAAACCTTACAATATGGGTGTGTGTGTGTGGAGCTACTCAGCTACACAGACACCCTCGAAATCGGGAGAAAAAGCGAACACGGGTAAAAGTAGAGAGCAAAAAAACGTGAGGGTCTGGGGGCCAATTGCGAAATAGGTGGAAGTAGTAAGAAGGGCCATAAGAACATCGATAACAAAAGACGCGCTCGAGTTGTTGTTATTTTTTGTTTCAAGGTTTAGACCGCGGTACGAAGAATACTGGATGGAAGAATCCCGCCATTTCCAGACCGCTGCGCGCTGGAGGTACGCAAAGTGCCTCGTCCCAGTTCAGCGCGACCTCGTCACCTGCGACCTCCTCCCCCCAATCGACCCCACCGCTCGTGGACGCCTCCTGCAAGTGGTCGACGACGCCGTCTTCGTCGTGGGGAGAACTCTGCACGATGGTGTTGCGCAGCCGACGTCCTGCCGGCGACGTCGACAACGAAGGAGAGCGCTGGTAGATCAAAGCGGAGTGCGGCGTGCCTGGGGGGAATGCCTGTGCGGGGGTCTGGGAAGTCGATGTCGACGTCACGACAAGTGCCGACGTCGTCGTCGTCGTCGAGCGATGATGGTGATGGTGGCTGTGGTGATGCCGTCTGTGGCCTCGGTTGTACTGTGACGAGGCGTTCGAACGGGGACTCGAAGAAGGCGCAAATATTCGCACGGTCGATTGGAGGGTGGCTGCGGCAGCGGCAGCGGCGGGATAAGCAGCAGCAGCAGAGGCCGCGTGGGAGGGGGTGGGAGTGCTGCCGGCCGAAGAAGTGCTCGTCTGGTTGTGCTGCTTCCAGTGGACCTTCGTGTCGCCGGTGTCCACGGCAAGGCGACCGTCGACACGATCGTCAAGCATCGCCTCCTCCAGCAGGCCAATACCGATTTCCAACAGGGAGCACCGTGCCTTGCCCAACTTAACTACAAAAGCAACACGGACGACGCCTAGTACGACTCCACGATCTAATCACCTTGACTACGGTCCGTCCAGAGTCAAACTCACTTACCCAGGATGGCATTGTTAACGGACTCGGCGAGCATTTTTCTGTGCTTGGGATGCATGAGATCCGAGAAGGGACTCTCGTAGGGGTTTTCGTAGGCGAATAAGCTGAAGGCGTCCTACAACACCAAAGTAGTGTGACACCATCTTCATGTGGTGAAGTGAATCACCAGGAGTGTGTGTGTGTGTGGGGAGGGGGCCTCACCTGCAGTAAAGCCAGCTGGGTTGGCGATATGGCATTGTTGGCTTGCAACTCCCGCGCATTGTCTCGCAACTCCCTTCCCAGCTGCACCACACTGTTCAAATCGAGCGGACTCTGTTGGAGAGGGGAGGAGTCCGAAGCCGGAGTGGGACTGTCATTGGTGGAACGCGTCTCCATGGCGACAGTGGAGGGGACGTGGGCGTTTTGTTGAACAACGCCACTTTGGACCGGTGGCTCTAATGTGTTCTCGACTGAGGTCAGGGAGGAACACTTGAAAAGACTTCTGGCTGCTGCTGCTCGCGTTTTCTCCTTCGTCAATGTGGATACACCGTTCTAGTGCAACATACACATGCAGCACATGATTGGTTAAAAACTCTGTTCGATAGAACAAAACACTGATTGGTTGGAAAACAAAAACACTGGTTTTGGAGCAACCCCATTGGTCAATACCGATAATCGTAAGTTGAATGAATAATCGCTTACCTGAACACACCGAGTTGCCTGCACAACAGCAATGCTGCCATTTTCTTGGTAGGCGCACGCAACAGGCAGGTTCTCCTTAAATAAACCGCCTTCTTCGTCGTCGTCATCATCGCCTTCAACTAGGTTCCCGCTGCCGCCGCCGTTTAGGCTGCCATTGGTTACCTCGCACTTACGGCGAAGGGCTGCGGACTGTCTGAGGCAGTTGCCGCCGCCACCGCAGGGTGAGCATTCGGGTGAACTTGAGGGTTGAGTGCGTTTAAAGGTTCTTGTGCCCTTCGCTGCCTTTCGACAATCTGGATTGGGTGGAGCAGATGTAGCCTTGGCCGGTGATGCCTTGTGTGTGAAATCACCATTAGCCTCCGTGGGTGGGTGCTGATTTGCAAATAGCTAAAGTTACAAATATGCAGTACTTTTAATGTATAAGTAGACGGTTCGATTCAAGATCGGAAAAACGAAGCCGTGGCGTTTGGTGAGGCGCTGACGCAAACACCACGGCCTTGTACGCCAATCACGCTGCAATCATCTGTTAGGACCGGCACGAGAGCAGGTAGCCAATCAGATACGCGACCTTGACACAAGGACGATACAAGAATAGCAACGGAAAGGTAGATTTAAGCTAAAATAATTTACTATGGAATTTGTTTTGCTTAGGCACTGGACAATAATGGGAAAGACGACAGGGTGGAAAACGTTTTCGGCGGGCATTATCGCATTTTTAAACTGTAGTATTTTCATGATTATTCAACCTGCGGAAAACTTGCCCGAGCTGATTCAGAATGGAACAGTTTACACCAAAAGACAATTTTAGGGTTGCCTAAATCACATCGTATCAAATCTGAACGCTATCTTGACAATAATCTACTGGGGGTAGTGACAATTTGAGAGAGCGGTTTTACGCAGACAGTTTAGAAATACCCACCATCTCGATGAAGTAGCGACAACGAAGCATGAAGACAATCGAAGGCATGGCCTGAATGAGACTGGGGTAGTTCTTGGTTAACTGGGAGATTGCTTGTAGGTAGTGACCTTGACGAATCAGCTCAGCCAATCGGATTCGCTGGTTTGCCTCAGCTGGCGACTCTGGCCAGCGGTCACCACCGCCGCACTCCCACACCTGCTGAGACGGCGATTCGACGTCGGTGGAGGCCACCGAAGACTTGGCTGCTTCGGCGTCGTCCGTCTCATCAGTTGTAGAGTCGTGTGTCTACAAAAACATGCCAATTTTGCGTCAGCAGTTAGGGGGACTGCGTTTAAACAAACCCAACATCACCTTATTAAATAAGCCGATTGGAGTTCTGGCAGTTTAGTTGGTGTGAAATAGGCACTATGAGGTGAGTGGTAAAACGAGGGCTCTAGTCCTGGTTATATCGCTATGGGAAAATCACAAAGCAATGTGGGCCTGCTGTGCCTGAGACAGCGCGTGTCTGAGCACTTAATTCAAACAAAACAAGTAATTAATGCGTCACAAGACGAAGCTGCCATCGTCTAAAAATGAACCCAACGCATCACACTGAGGACGTAAAGATTTTCACGACGAGAGTTATGGGTAATGATGCTCAGGAAGTACGCGCGGGGAGCAGATGTTTTGCGTAAAAAAAGGACAATATTGACACAACAAGGACCTTGTGAAACCGATTGAAGGTAAAAGATTTATGAATGCATGAGAAAACCCAAACAGACGGGCAGTATTTAGATAAAATAATGTCCCAAGTTATAAATAGATGCATGTCATCGACAAATTCTCGCAGGTGCTGAGTGCTGAATCCGATTTGACAAGCAACGAAGGAAATAAATTGAACCGATGACGACCACCGTTACCCCCCCCCCGGGCACGACGAAATTTGTAGCCCACGCTACAAACAACCCTCTTTGAACAATAACAGCTGAATATCAGTGCACACAGCTCCACACACTTGCTTCAACAACATCCAGGACACATCATCCTCCGCGATGAATCACATAAAGCGCGATGTGAGATATGAGCTAGAGAATCAAACCCTATCCGCCATCTTATTCAACCGTTTATTCCGTGGAGCCTGCAGTTTTAAAGGCGAATGGAACATTTCGATCGATGAAAAGAACCTTCCAAATGCGATAGACATCAAAAAATTGGGACCGATCAGCATTAGGGTGAAAACCACCCTCACTTTACAAGACGGGAGCGGAAGGCTTGGCAAAAGATTGAAGGAAAACTGTTCCGTTTACCCAACCCAAATATCAGTACAACTGACACCTCCCAAAACCATTTTGATTTGGATCTAGACGGACATCGGCTGGGGGTTATTGATGTTGACGCAGAATGGATTAGGAGGGTTACGACATTATCAGCGGCGGTGGTGGTGGTGGTGGTGTGGTTTTGGGAAATTGAGGTGCAACTACGCGTTAGAGGGGGAGGCCTACACCCCACCAGTCGGACTTACCGCCTTCCTGTGACGCAACGGAGTCGACCACGACGACGACGACGAGGTGCTCTTGAAAAGGTCCTTCAGACTCCACATTTTAGCCCACCGTTTGAGGCGTGGGCTTATGGAGTACTTGGGAGGGAGAGAGGGAATGCGAAGGAACAGTTAAAATGCGTGGTGATGCTGGCTTTAAAAAGGTCTAAACCACGTGTGGAGGACTGGAAGTCCACTGGCAACCCCCTAAAGATCCCAACTCCTAGGCAAACACCAAGTTCCGCTTTCTTGCAGCCACATTTTTAGGGATTTGGGGAACGAAATCGTATTTTCCGCCAGAAATTCCAACCAATGACAAAACACACCATCAGCTGTTTAGGGTTATGAGGAAGAGGAGGCCAGACAAAGGCACTATAATTAGAAGGCAAGGAGGAGACGGTTATCCACGCAATCGCAATAAAACATTTATAGGGGCAGAACACGTAAACACCCTGCCATATGCCTCCAATAGTATTGACATCATTGAGGCGATTTCAGTCGAAATTTTTTTAAAAAAGAGGAGGAATAAAAGCCAAATTCAAATTCGTACGTGGCTGTTTGCTTAAACACTAAAAAGTGAGTGTCGAGGAGAAGGCAACACATCAGCTCGATCCTAGATTGACTGCTGTTGGAAACAGTAGGCAGACAAGAGACCAAACCAAACCAATTTTGGCTTCGTCTGACTCGATAAGCGTTTCACGGCAAACAGCCAGTGCATTGACACACGCACTTAACAACACGAACACAACACACCGACGTTACCGCAGCGAGCGATTAGGCTGATGCACGTTTCTCATAATTTGTGCCAATTTCGACGACTACCAGATTGGTCTCAAGAGGATGCCTCTTCAAATTTGCCAATTTAACACCCCTTGACGGAATGTGTTTTGCACACACACACACACGCTTCCGTTGAGAGATTTTTGTGGTCTGAAAATCTCCCATACACACAATGAGAACCCATAAAATACCTGTGGTGTCAATAGATCGACGTTCGTGGGTTCCGTTGTAGGAACTCCAGAGGCCATGCACACACACACACACACACTCAAAAATCGTCACCAGCTTGATCTAAGCACCTCTTAATGAGGCAATAGAAACCCGGAATAACAACTTCGAGGATAGGATGTCAATCCACGCCTCGACACCGTGTGCAGCTCTGTCGACATTGGTTGTCCTAGCGTCACCAAGCGTAAACACGTGGACTGTTCGATATGGCTTCGAAGCGCACACATCGACTTCTACAGCCGTAAAAACACGCAGCCCCACCCACCCACCCACCCACACATGCGAAGACTTGCAAGGTATGTTCAATCTCATGCAATTCGCGCAATACACTACATGGGAGTAGGGTTGAGAAAACACGTTTTCTGATGATTGTAGCATTAGCACGAAGCTAACAAATTTCTACACTAAATCACGAAAATTCGCGCTGAGGCCAAGCAGAAATCGGAAGCGTGAAAAGGACAAAGGAATGGCAAGTTGGTCACCCTCCAACGCTGCAATTAAGATTGAGGAAATCGCATTTTATGACAACGAAAACATCTCACTAACCCACGACTAGAGACACGCCCACGTTGCAAGAGTTCTACCTGTGTTTTATTCTTTCATGCCTTGCAGACGAGTTGGATGGAGCTACGTTAGAAGTCCAACATCTGGTCACACATTAGTCCTGGGGCAGTCCATTTTGACTGGAGCGGTGAAGCATGGAAGCGGTTCCGACGACCTTGAGGGATAACCATTCAACTACTGCTACTTTACAAACCGCGTCAAAATGAAACGCTTAGAAGCGAATAGGTGTGATCTCAATTGGAGAAACTCTTGGCACTTTCCGATTTACTTACAGACCGGTAAGAGAAGAAAAGTGATTTTACGATGGAGTGTAAAAGCACAGTCAACCAAAGCGACTAAAAGCCCATTGGCTAGTTTCTAGGTCACAAGGCAGCAGCAGCACCACCACCACCACCATGTACCCAACACAACACGACGGCATTACGCCACTTCACAGAAATGCTACAATTGAAAATAGCCCCCAAACCAAGGCTAAAATTAGCGATGACGGGCGGTGAAAAAAAGAAAACTAACCGCACGAAGTCACTTCTGATGCAAGGCATTTTTGCATTCTTTTGACCGTTTTTTCCCGTAGCACATTGCGCTAACTCAAACGCACATTCTACTACACTCGCAGTTGATAAGCCCGCACAATTAAAACAGTTAGGAGACCTGAAAGATCGGCGTCAAATGCACATTAAAAATAGATTAAAATAGGCGCGGAAATTCACCTTAAGACCGTTGGAATGCAGCAAGGTAGGCGAAAGCTTGGAGTTGGGTGGGTCTTTCGAAGGCGCCTCGTCTTCGTCGACAGGAACGGAGGTGGTGGAAGGCGAGGAGGGGCAAGAGGTGGCAGGGATGGCGGAGGTTTGAGCTGGCGCGTCCACAGCGGGTCTGGCCATGGCGCTAGCGGTGGTTAGGTAACCGTGCCTGACTAAGTAGTCGAAGACAAGGCTGAAAAGGCGTGCGAGAATGAGACTAATTCAGACAAGACCTGATGCCTCGGAGGTGGAGATGCCATTTCAAACTAAATTTTATGCTCGAAGAAAACCACAGTTCAACTTAAGTCTGTGGTGTGTGTGTGTGTGCGCCGCAGCCGAATGAAGGAAAACAGTAGGGAGGAGATCGGCATTGCAGTCGGTGCCTCAGTTGTGACGGGTTTTGACAAAACATGTTTACAGCTGGGGAGAGGTACGTGCGCTGGCACGCGGCGCGAACAATTAAAATTGAATTTCACGTCGGAGTTAAATGACTCCAAAAGTAGCCCCAATACACACACACACACACACACATAAACATGCAACAAACAAGCAGAGATGTGGGCTGGAGAAGGCCCAATCGTTTATCGATCACTGTGGCAATACCAGTGCTCCGGGGTGAATAGTTTTGAATTTCTGCCAACACTGAAATACACTTATGGTAATCCTAGATTCCATGTGGTGGTGAATTGAAGATTAATCCCTCACTAAACACAGAACAGACGACGTCGATAAGAGAGGGCATCTTCTCCAGACTAAATCAGGCTGGCAAACACGCACGCATACTTAAACAATGCTTGTCGTATCGTGTCATGTCTGCTTCAACGATGCAGTGAAGTGCGGGTTGGGGCACGGCGAGTGAACAACTTCGCTCACGGAACCAAACGTGCTCGAAAGTCAGTTGATGCAACACTTGGTCAAATTGGTTTTCACACTTGGGCATGAATTAGGCAAGCCACTGAATTTTGTCGACAAAAGAAGGAACTCGACAAGAACAGTTGCTGCTGCTGCTGCTACTGCTGCTGCTGCATCTACGCTTAAATCCCAGTCGCCCCTAAACAATGGCGCGCAGAAGTAACATCTTTCGATGGACAAT